TCGACTGTTTTGGGACGATTTTGTAACATATCTGCTTTGAGCTGCATCGGCAAATTTTCGAAAAGAATTCTGACCTTTTCTTCTTCTCCAGCGCTGACATGGGTTGCAGCAATGTAATCCAACACACCGTATACGTACGTCAAGGGTTCGTCAACAGCGGAATTTTTTGACATGAATTTACTGATATCTAAGTCTAATAGATTTCTACCGAAGATTTTCAAAAATTCCTGCTCTGCGTCGCAAAATTTTTTCAGTTTGGATTCGCTGTTCTTGAACCATTTTAAGGCAGCATTTGTCAAGCACAAACCGAAATGCACCAAAGACTGTTCATCGCTCCACGAAAAATAGTTCTTAATTCTGTTAAACCTGTCCATAAAATCTTCTGCAGATTCAGTGGACTGTCCACCAAATACTGGTAAATCTCTAAGGCGAATTCCTGCCATCTTACGTACAACCACTTTTTTTTAAACTTAAATTTATGCAATCAAACTTTTTTGATCATCAACAACAAAAAATTCAAGAATCGCATTTTAAAGGGGCATGTTAAAACGATCGGTTACGACGAATTACAGATTCGCTCTTTCTGGTACGTCAGCAGGACTGTTGACTTGCGCAGATAAAAAACTTAATTATTCTACAAATCGATATATTTAAGAGTTAATTCAATTTTTTTCGAAAATTAATGGCATGAAAAGACGGCATCGAAATATACCTAAATACGTACTTAAGTATTACTGTTTCGACTCTGCTGGTCCTGCTTATAAATATTTCCTTCCAGGCGGGTCTCACCATATACGCCGTATTTTGTTACATGCAAAAGAAATCGAAAGAATACAGGGAAAATCCGCAAACAATCTAGAGCACACACTGTTAAAATGATCGAAATCCCTTACAGTAAGCTGATGATTTACGATTCTAGTAATATTAGGACTATCTTCTAAGGTCAACTTAATCATAAGATCAATTTTCATGATTAACCAGTTAATAACAAACATTCGTCCGAAGTCAACTAAATGACTATTTTTGACACAAACTTTATTTTAAAAAAACAAACTGAAAGCAACTGCACATCGTTATTAACTTATCCTGTTTAAACTATGTCAGGAACAAAAGGACCCACGAAGAGAAAGCAAAAATGATAAGTTGCCATACGACTTACAGAGGAATGCCGTTATGCTGCTTCCGCTAGTTGTCGACCACCTGCACCCGCTTCCGCTCCAACACACCTATCGTTGTACGCTCCGACAAAAGAACCGCAGAACGCCGGCACCACCTTCTGCACTAACAAGCCTTAAAACATTCACCGACGTCGTTTGTAAGCAGTGCAAAGTATTCTTACTAGATACCGCTCCCACACTCGCTCATACAACGCGTGGTTTGCTGTAAGCGACACTTGTGACCTTTCACAATCCACACTCGTCGCTCGTCTCACAGCGTCCACAATGACACACTATCCATCAGCAATTATAACAGCAAATCACTCGCACTGATGTCTCACGATTAACACTCGTAGTGGTAATGCACTCACCACTACTAATACATTGTCACTTGCAACAGTGCACTCACTGCTGCTAACATCACATCAACTCACTCTGAAACACTTGCAGTGGTTATAACCTCACCACTACTGAACTTGACCTTCCCTCGCAGCTCCACACCTTCAGCTACCTTTACTTGCTACGCACACATGCCCTCCATGTCGCGTAACTAAAGGTTAGCTGAGACTCGGTGGATGTAACCTTTCTACTACCAGTACAACAACGATAAACAACAGCGGCTGATCCGACCCGATGACCTTTAATGCAGATTAGCAGACAACAACTCGAATGCTAACAAAATGGCATGCAAAGATAAGGCAGATATTCCAAGAGAAGTTGTTCCTAGGCTGGATGGAGATGTACTAAATCATTTGACAACTTCATCGCACACTACTTTTTTAGCCAGGCACTTAATACATGTTACGAGAGATAAAACATTGCAGACAACAAAGACACACTATTGGTTTACACAATGATTCATTCCTTTCTTCACGCTCAGTCATTTGCCCGTTATCGTTCAAGCCACAACCTCTGGCTTGCTCACAACAACAAACTATCCTGCAATCAACCACAACAACCAACCGCATTCAACCGCATCCGCAACTGTATCCATTTAAAGCACGCCCGTTATGATGATGAATATGTATGTGATTCATGATGCATGCTGCTCATGACCCACAGAACACGCTTGCGCTATATACTCGCGCAACACAACTGTCACTGTTCCTTCAATAACTGACTGGGTTAATTGTATTTTTGGTGTATTACTCCGAATATTCTTGTCACCTTCTCGTCTTGGTGCACCATGAACGCCACACCTTTGTACCTGCGTCAATTATATTCGGGTGGTCGTGAAGTCAATTACGGTAACACGGTGCTGGTGCAGCGCAACGACGGTCAATGGTGGCTGGGACACGTTCAGGATATTGACGGGGATGAGTTCTTCATTGACTTCGACAGCAGCAGCATCAGCGCCCAATGGATCCACTCTCAGCATCTTTGGCCACACCGCTTCCTGGACAGAACTCGTTTCTATAACGGCTCTTCACTGCCAGTGGCGCTGCGGGAGGAGAAAGATGGTCCGATGGTGTTCCGCCTTGGGACAGTTACTGGGAGCGTCTGCGGCTTCCTGACAGTTCGCTTTGATGCCACAACGCCCTGCTTCATCCACCGGTCACACTGCGTCACACAATTGCCGATACCCGGCAAGCACCCCAGTTTTTTCGAGAAGCCTGACGATTTCGTGTTCCGTAAGCATGTTATCGGGTTCGAGCAGGCGCAATTGCTGCGTGAAGTGGATTTCTTGCCCAAGTACATAATGCGCACGTGCCGCTTAGCGTTGGGCAGTGTTGACCGTGTATGCGATGCCAGTTGCCGGTTGACACGGTATATAACTATGGACAACGTTCGGTTCCAGTGTAATGCGCACCAGCAAGCGTACGAGATAAATGTCAGTTGCCGCATGTTCGCGCGAGTGGGCACAGACTCGGTGACATTCATCTGCGCTGGACCGCACGGCGACGCCGCCGGGCGCAGTTTATTCTGGAATGAGGAGGCCCTGAAGGAAGCGTGCCTCATCTGCCTCGCTAAACAACGAGTCGATACCGGGACCATCAGCAGGAATTGCTTGATCGACACACTCTACCTGGGTTGGTCATGCGAGAGCCTAGTTAAAACTTCTTTACAAGTCCGGTGAACAGTTTATTGTAGGTACAGGTAATGCATGGCACCGATTCGCCAGAAAGGTTCATAATCTCTGCATAAAGGTTGATGCGGTTTCTTGTTGATGCGGCTGAACGAAAATCGACGAAACCCAACTGCAGAGATTTGGTGTTTGCGATAACAGTAGTTTAATGGACATCTTTCTACGCATCTGTAATTTTTGCTGTAGCAGCAAAGTATTCACCGGGTTTCACACACCCACAGGAAACAATAACAACGATATCAGCAATAAAACTTTATGGGTGCTTTTGCAGATGTGATGGAGACACGCATTACCGATCTTGCTCATCCGATTTTGGTCCGTATATTGTACAACCTAGATATCCGAACTCGATTCTTATGGATGCGCCGGTAAAACAACTATCGAGTAGAGACTTATCCGTTTCTCATTTCAGCTTGCTCATTTTCTCAGGGTCTGTGCGCTGTGGCGGATCTTGTTGCAGAAGCCCGCAGCCGACCGGGACATCATTTTTGACGTAGATTCCCTGCGCTCTAAAAGACATTTCGATAGAGAATTCTTTGTCGAACGTGCCATTTACGGGCACAAGGTTGTAGCGCTTAACGGCTCCGTTTCGCAGCATACTCGCAGCATGACCTTTACCGACGACGGACAATGCCGTGACCAGTACAAGAGCCGGGCAACCTTCCAACAGACTTTTTCGGAAAGCACGCAGATACTCAGACTGAAGGGCTTTTGCTTGCCTGTTATCGTCGTCAAAAATGGGAGGGATGTCGGCGATACGCTGATAAAGTCCTTCCTGAGCATTACACGGAATCACCACACCGGGGAGTGGGAATGTGAGACGATGGGGTCCCCGATGTCTGTATGCGAGCAACTGTGGCTGATCAACTACACCGTATCCATTCTTTCGCTGGATTATTCTCTACTGAGCACACTTTGTCACAGCGACGACAGCGACCAAACCTGGCTACACGACGGGCACGCGATGCACCGTGGCACAAACAAGTTGTCAGCGAGCCTGAACGTGCGCATTCCGTTTCTGCGCTTCCGCTGCAGGGAGACGCCGGCGGACCAGTGTCGGCGCTTAATAGCCGCGGTCAACGAGCGTTGTCCGGCCGTTAGTCCAGACGTGTACGCAAAGGTCACGGGGGTGCACGCGCGCTGGGTACAGACGCTGGCCTACCCGAACCAATGGACCGGCATTCGCCGGTTCCTAGAATTGTGAGTAACATGAAAAGTAATCATTTCCAAATTGAGTGACTATGCGACTGTATCCGCTTTGCTAGATTCAGTAGAACTCGCCCGGACGGCCATCCGCAGCGCTGGGATGGAGTGGAGCTGAGGCAACTGGATATCGCGCTGCTGAGTCCGTTGGCCCTTCACATACTGGACGGATACTTTGCAGACTGAGGACATTATGACCTTGTATTGATTTGTCGATGCACCGTTCGCACGTCAGCAGCACTGGCACTTTAGCACTGTTGATCGTTGCACTTACTACCGTTAATTTACTACCTGCTGTACATTTTTCCCCACTGCAAACCTAGTTGGATTATTTGAATTTGCCAAAACGCCAGACACACAATTATGCTGGAACACAATTATGCTGGAATTAACCAGTTAGATTTTAAAAGGTACCTAAGGGTTGAAAGAAAATTTAGAAAACACCCAACACACAAAGTCTGTGCGAAAGTGAAGAAATCACCACTGTCAACCCGATCACACCATCACTGTTACAACAGAAATCAGACAGCCACAAACGGAAAATCTCATTGAGATCAGTTTCTGCCGAGTGCACGCAGTCGACTGAAGAGAAGTCTCCCACCACGATACAGCGACGACAGGGCAAGAATGCCGGGCGCAAATACCAGCAGTTTCGACGCTGGCGGCACCTCCGCCAGCTTCCTAAGGGCGTCCGACGACGGCCGGGGACCGTTCCAGGCCCGGTGGATGCCGGCCACATGGGCCATGCCCACCACCCCCACCGCCACACGTCCGCGTGGACCCGCCGTCGTCATCAGCGGCTGCGACACCGACCGCTTCAGCGCCTCCGTCAACCAGACATCCCGCTCCTGCACGAGCACACGGTACACCGTGGGGCAAGCCGTCGCGAATTTTTCCTTCTCTGCCTGCATGAGCGCGCGCCGTGTCTCCGCATTTATCTGCCAGAAGGCTTCCATACCGGTACGCTTAGCCCGGATCTTCATCCGGAGCAGCCAGAGTCTTTCCCGCAGCGGTGCGGCGCGGATCCGCTGCCGCGTGATGCTCCGCGGCCGATCACCGAGGTATAGCGTGCAGTCGGAGAGAGTCATCACTTCCATGTAGGCAGCCCGCATGTCCGAAGCTTTTTCCAGCGGAAGTCCAAAATTTTTCAAGTAGAGTGCTGCTGACCTTTGCACGAGAAACGCCAGGATGGTCTTTGGCCAACCGACACGTCGTCCCAACAACTTCCAGTTATCTTTGGAATACCATTCTTCACTCAGTATAACCTTTACTGCATCTTCGCTCGGCATAGTTAAAATGCGTTGCCGTTCTGCAAGAATATTCCAGGCGGTTTATAATTTTGATTTTACTGGCACTCCTACGCAAAGCAATGAAATAAATTATTTTATTCATTTATATTTATGTAAACGTTTAACATACAGTACTGTAACTACAACAACACTATTAATAGTTTCTTAAAATTTTTAATGCAAGCAATTGTGTATGAATAACCATCCTCGCAATTACGCAAATATAACGATGCAGTCTGCTTGTCCTATATATTTACTGTAGTGGCTCGCACATCTTGTACCACAGAGTTAGTATACGGGGGAAAAGTGCATCCAATATACACACTCTAACCGGGCAAAGCGCATGATTCGCAGTTGGCGTGCATTGATAAATTTCTGATGTTTCTCAACATTTGGTCTGGAGAACCTTCTTGAATATTAAAAAAAATTAGAGCCCTGATAATTATTAACTATATTTATGCTCAAAAGCAGCCATTAACTTACTGTCAGCTCGAATTCAAACACTGATTTGTTGTGGTTTTTGGGGTGCCCCTGCAGTGTCAGGGGTACGTTCAGCGTCAACATTCTACAGCTACAGAACAATTCGAGCTCTCAGATACAGAGCTTCTTTTCCAAGGTGAATTACAATTTTAAAGAAAATGTTTGATTTACTGGTCAGATTCAGAAGGAGAGTTCATCTTGAAGTCAAATCAAGCAGTATTTCGTAGGCGTGCATTTTGCCCGGTTAGAGTGTGTGTATTGGATGCACTTTTTCCCCGTATACTAACTCTGTGGTAGAAGATGTGCGAGCCACTACAGTATTATTGTAGGATCACAGCATGCTAATGATAAACAGAGATCAATATTATGATAAAATATTATTAAATTATTATTTAGTAAGTAAGACATGTGCATGCAATTGTGTTAAAATTGCTATCGATAAGCTGCAGGCACGGTTTTACCTAAACACAGTTCCAGCAGCACCGAATCCGGCCTGACCATCCGAATCGTCAAACCGACGTCCTCCTGACTTTTATCTGCATTATGCACGGTTCCGACCTACAAGGCATCGAAATTACCACTTCATGAAAAGAACAGCTTAGTCTATGTCAATAATTCCCGCTCTGTCCTAAATCCATGCAGATTATGGGGAAATTTCGAAAATTTGTCAGTAACATAATACTAATGTCATTGCCAGTGCGTGTTGTGCCCTTACAACTCACAAGATAAACTCGCCCACCGGACGGAGGGTGTTCCAGCATGGTCACAGTGTCGGGCAGATCGGGATTTGCGATACGGAACTTGGGTGGTCGCAGACGCCCGGCCCGAACCGGAAAACCCGTTGGGATGGGCTTGAGGATGTCGGGAAGTGTGTAATCTCCATGGCCTTCACCCTGTGCAGCGTGGTTAGCGTCTAGTCCCGGGTGGCTCGTCTCGTCGTGTCCGTCTTCACGCTGCTGATAACCAGAAGCGTCTTCCATTCTCCTCATGCACAAATCACTCCTGTAAACGAAATTGTGTTGTTGAAGCAAGCTGGTTAGGTTTATGCAAATTGCAAAATGTCATCTGCTGTTTGAAATAAAAATCACACATCACTGCTCGGACCCGGATGTCTCCGTTAATAGATCACTACTTCAGCTTTCCGCAACCTCTTTTCACATGAATAATATCAATATTCACTCTATTCAACGTTCCGGGATACCGAATTCGCTGTGAACCGGACAGGGTCAACACAAATACAAAGCACAAATTCGGTCTTTTTTTAGCTTCATTGTTCTAACTAACCATTAAAGGTTTCTTGAATAGTGTATATGCTCGAATTCGATAATATCAACTTCGGTAGCGATTTCGGTGTAACATTGCGATTTTAACTAAACCCAGATGCAGTAAAATTCCATTCCACGAGTTTCGCGGCCAGTCTAGACCAAAGGTTGCCGCCGGAAGCGCAATATTATAATAAAAAACGAAACAGCATTTATAAAAGAAGCACTTCCTCTATGCTGTCCTGATCGGGGATCGTACCCATTACACAAATCGCGTTTCCCCGTTGTATTTGCGTAGATACTCGCTTCTCAAAAAAAACTTCTGGCCAGTGGAAGTCGCTGTACCGTTTCCAACCATCCAACCATTTCCACTAGCTCTTTAGTTGCGTATGAATGACCTGATAAGGACCAATCCTTTCCAGACCCGGCCGCGAAGGTCATCGTCGGTATGGTTACACCGGCCCGGATTTCAGGCCGACCAAACCGGGCCGGTGTAATCATGCCGACGGTGACTAGAACGTTCGTTCCTGAAACTGCGGTAAAATAGATAAGGGCTATTTTAACGCAGTGTGCGGCAAACTAGCCTTAGCCGTTCTTTGATTATTCCGTAATCAACTTCGTCAGCTTGCTGAGCCGGAGTCTTTCCATGCGCTACGCTGAATAGTAAAATTGACTGCTCGTGCGTGGTTCATACTGATCTTGCTGCCTGTTAGGGTGTGTCCACTATGGGGCCTACTTCCTACTTCTGCGCGAGCACAAAGCCGATCAGCACATTGTTTTCGCTGTCCCTCCGTTTAGCGCTGGCAGTCCCCGGAGTGTGACTGCGCAACACTGCAACCTGGATTACAAACTCATTACCATGTTGGACTGCAAGGTTTCGCGTTATACACGAACACTAGCCTTCCTGGAACGTATCGAAAACTCTGCGGATAACACTCCGCTGTGGAGTTCGACCAACTACAAAATGTTGATTACCAAGACGATATTGCAAACCAGAGGTATTTGCCTGCAACGAATAATCATCAAGAACAGCGCTGAACACCAGTGGGGTCCGAAATTTTCCAGCATGGGCGTGCGCACCATTCATCAGGCTGTGGAACCTGCAGAAGACTGGCTGGCAGTGCTGTTGACAGTGTGCGATGAATTTGTGCTTATGAACTACACTGTTCCCCTCTGTCCCGTTATCGATCCGCAACAGGTCCAACGGTTACACGATGGAGACACCTTCTGGCCTGGAAGTCTGGCCCGTGACAGGGTCCAACCACAGACGGTGCTTGTCCCGTTAATGCGCTTCCGTAGTACGGATTCGGTCAGGGAGCAGTGCCGAC